GCTCCTCTACAGGGCAGTAATAGGAAAGAAGTGTCCATCCCCACAACTTCTTAGAACATCCAGTTTCCCCATGGACATCCCTTCACTCAGGCACTTGTCCCACAGCCCTGCTTGCACGGGCTGCAGCCTCTCCCACCCTTGCTGGATTTGTGAATCACCTCAGACCAAGACGAGATGTGGGGGAAGGGCCCTGATTCTGCAACGCTCTCCAGCCCGTGCCCAACCCCCAGAGGGTCCCACCTACCCGGCGGCAGGATGGAGGAGTTGGTGATGCCCACATTGTTGGCTGCGGTAAAAGAGAAGTTCTTGGCCACGCTGCTGAGCTGCACCTGCACGGTATGGTTGGTCAGCCAGGGGTAGCTCTTGGTGTCCAGGATGAGGAAGTCGGACGTATTCACCATCACGTGCCCATCCTGGTCTATCCAGGTGATGCTGGCTGGGGGGTTGGCCCGCACCAGGACAAAGAGAACCATGAAGAGACCCGGGTCCTTGGCCTCCTGGTACTTTGCGTTCATCGTCATGATCTCCGGTTTAACTGGGCAAGAAAGGACACAAACCAAATGTGTATAAGACAAAGCTGGCCCCTGGTCTTGAACCTAGTGAACGCTGACCCTGGAGAGGCAGCGGGGTCTAGTAGTTAGAGCTGGGGACAGGGAGTGGGGTCTAGTGGTTAGAGCAGGGATCTGGGGGTCAGGGCTCACGGCTGTGGGCTGGGAGCAGGGGCTTATGAGCTATGGGGCAGGGTTCTGCCAGAGTTGAATTTGGCCTCTTGTCTCAGCGATGGGAGGGAAAACCCATAATTTCATGTTTGTGCAGCACTTTAATGAGGAGGCTTCGTTGTTATTAGTGCCAGATTCCGGTCAGTGTCCTGTGTTCTCTGCACATCTGACTACCAGGTGCGGGGCTCAAATCCCTCAGGTGCTGGCAGCACAGAGCTCCTGAGGGCCCCAATTAGCTGCTAATGAGAATAATGATGACAGGCTCCCTGCACCTGGCCAGGGCAGCCAGGGCACTGCACAATTAACCCCTTCCAGTCCAGCCCCTGCTCTGGCTGCCTCCTTGGTCCAGACACACAAGCATGGGTGGGAAGGAAGCCTCTCCCCTTCCATCCTGTCTAAGTGCCTGGGACTTGGCTGGAGAAAGTGCAGGAGGGGCCTTGTTAGCCTCTCTGTTCAGGGGAGCTGAGCCCAACCCTTCCTCAGATCTCCAGCGAAATACATCTGGTGGAGCCCAGGGTACTGTGTCTACCTCAGAGCTCTGTATGACCAGCTGCCTCTGCTTGGGGTGCCTTGGGGTGCGAGCCAGGACTGAGGAGCAGCAGCAAAGCTGGGGGCATATAGAAGGGCTGGACTAGTGGGGTCAGATTGAGGGGCACAGGCAGAGCTTGGGAGGAGAGAAGGGGCAGGGCTGGACTAGCCAGGGGCCATGGCTTGGAATCAAGGGGTACTAGCAGAGCTGTAGAGGGAAAGAGGGGGCATGGCTGGAATAGCAGAGGGGCTGCAAAATGGGATTAAGGTGTGTGTTGTGGGGAGGGGTGCCCCTTGGTCTCTCCTCTAACGAGTTCTCCGGACAAAGGACCTGGCCCGCACGGAGCAGGAGCCCTCGCAAAGCCCAAGGAGCCGGCCCTTACACTGCACGTTGAGGAGCACCGAGGCGCTGGAGGTCTTGCCAGAGGCCGGGTCTGTCAGTGAGCAGTTCAGTTCCCTGTCTGCGCGCTGTGCCGTCACTGTGAAAGTGCTGGAGCTCTGCTCAAAGGCCTCAGCCAAGGTGGTCAACACTGTGGAACCATTGGTCTCCTGCTTCTTGCCATTCAGGTACCAGGTGAGCATGGGCACGGCCTGCCAGCTGTCCACCTGGCAGGTGAAGTCCCGGCTCTCATCCTCCTGCATGGTGCTCACCAACAGTGATTGCCCGTTAATCTTGGGATCTGGTTCCCCCAGCCCTGCCAGGGAATCAGGAGGGAAAAGCCATCAAAGCAGCACACTTGAGCCAGGAGCTCATCCTATGCCCCCCCGTCCCGCTCCATACACTCTAGAGATCCATGTCACCAACACAAAAACAGGCTCTAGGTGGCTGGAACAAGTCCCTGGAGGCTGAATCTAAGCGGGGCTGCTTTGAGCTGGCTGAGACAGCCGCTGGGGAGCTGGGCCGGCCTGGGCACAGGACGCTGCAGCAGACCAGGTAAGGGAGTCTTGGTAGGCATGGCCTCCAGGAGCCTCCTGCCTCACAGCCAATGCAGAGGGCTAGGTTTGGCACCTGTTCACTCCGTTTCAGGGGGCCCCTCAAGGGATGGAGGCAGGGGGCAAGTCCAATCCCAGAACTGCATGGACTCTCCATGCACAGGGCCCAGGCCTGCCCAGCATCCCACAGGGCACGGGCACTCTCCTCCACGCAAGGGCCTTACCTGAATGCACCAGCACCTCAATGTGGAGCAGCAGCAGCAGCACGTGGGAGAGGGCGGCACTGCAGCCGGCCAGGTTCCCGGCAAGCCCCATCTATGCTCCGGTCGGGTCCCCAGTTTCACCAGTGCCCCAGCGCTAGGAGAGAGTCAGATGGTACCTGAGTGCCATGGGGAGGGCGGAGCAGGGATGACGCTCCTCGAGTGGGCTCTGAGGGAATCCCCCCCACTCCTGAACTTGGGTCTGTTGCCTGCCTGGCCAAGCGAGGGGGTGATCACTGCCCCAGGTGTTAGCCAGGTGAACAGTACAGCGCGTCTGCCCATGTGTTTCTCACACGTCCATCACTGGGGCACGGACGCTAGGGGATGAACTGTTGCTGTGCGGCCCCCATTACACCCTGGAGACCTCCGGGGGCCACCCCGTCACTCAGAGCGTCACCACCCAAACTGCAGGTCTGGGTCTGTCAGCACAGCCCCAGCCAGGCCTCCACACTGGGAATTACCCGGGGGAGGGGGAGGTTTCACACCAAACCCCCCATGGCACACGCACTCACCTGTCCCCATGGTGCGCCTTCACGGGGCACATGCGCAGGCAGGCACACCCAGGGCTTGGCCCTCACACACACAGCAGGCAGGGCTCACACAGGGGCACACGGGCAGAGCAGGGCTCGCACAAGGGGCACACGGGCCGGGCTCACACACACGCACACAGGGGGCACACGGGCAGAGCAGGGCTCGCACAGGGGGCACACGGGCAGGGCTCACACACACGCACACAGGGGCACACGGGCCGGGCTCACACACACGCACACAGGG